GTCCCTCTATGAAGGAATGCCACATCATTTTAATTACTATTGATATCTGATCGATCAAGTCTACACACCTTGTCCTTCAGGAGTGTTTCGACTCTTCTTTCACATACACTTTGAAAGAAATTTATCATGTCCCACAAAAAGACTGTCAAGTATTTTTTAAAATTGTATTACAGCGACAGATGAATTTGGAGATTTTTGGCCTCTTTGATTCTGAATCTTCCAATCCATTAATATGGTAAAACTTTCTATTGATTAGTGTCTTCTTTAATGTCTTCCAATAAAGATTTTTGTTGTTGTTGTTGTTTGATTGTCTTTTAGACAGGGTCTTCTTTTTCTGTGGCCCAGGCTGGAGTGCAGTGGTGCCATATAGGCTCACTGTAACCTCCACATCCCGGACTCAGGTGATCCTCCCACCTCAGCCTCCCGAGTCTCTGGGACTACAGGTGCACACCACCACGCCCGGCTACCAATAAAGTTTTCTAATTTTATACACAAAGAGTTTGCACAATACTTTTAAAAAATCAATTCTAAGGGGCTTTGTATTTTTGTTGTGTTTTAAATCATTTTTTGATTAGTCTTTTTATTTTTCTGATTGTTGCTGGCATGTAGAAATTTAATTGACACTCAAACCTTACACACTCAGATTTTCTTTCTTTCTTTCTCTCCCTTCCTTCCTTCCTTCCTTCCTTCCTTCCTTCCTTCCTTCCTTCCTTCCTTCCTTCCTTCCTTCCTTCCTTCCTTTCTTCCCTCCCTCCCTCCCTTCGCTCTATCGCCAGGCTGCAGTGCAGTGGTGCGATCTCGGCTCACTGCAACCTCCACCTCCTGGGTTCAAGTGATTCTCCTGCCTCAGCCTCCCGAGTACCTGGGACTAAGGCATGCGCCACCACGCCCAGCTAATTTTTGTTTTTTTAGTAGAGACGGGGTTTCACTATGTTGGCCAGGATGGTCTCAATCTCTTGACCTCGTGATCCGCCCACCTTGGCCTCCCAAAGTGCTGGAATTACAGGCATGAGCCACTGTGCCCAGCCCACATTCAGATTTTCTACACTGTGACCTTGCTAAACTCTCTTATTAATTCTAATAACTTGTCTACAGATACTTTTGGGTTTTCCATAGACAATGATAGTAACTACAAACAATAGTAGTTTTGCTGTTTTCCCTTATAATCCTTATATTCTTCTTTCTTCTTTTTTGCGGATCACCTGAGGTCGGGAGTTCGAGATCAGCCTGACCATCATGGAGAAATCCCATCTCTACTAAAAATACAAAAAATTAGCCGAGCGTGGTGGTGCATGCCTGTAATTCCAGCTACTCGGGAGGCTGAGGCAGGAGAATCGCTTGAACTTGGGAGACGGAGGTTGCAGTGAGCCAAGATCCTGCTATTGCACTCCAGCCTGGGGGACAGGAGCGAAACTCTGCCTAAAAAAAAAAAAAAGTTTAAATAAAGTTTCCTTAGGAATATTTTCTCAACATCTTACCCTCTCCTTATTGCTCTGTGCTCCAGGGATGCCATTGAGCAGGTTTGTACCTGCCTCCTTTCAACCTGACTATATATTACTGGAGAAAAGAAGTCTTAAGTGAGGGTGCAGATGGCAGCTTTCAAGAATTTGAAGAACTACCAAGGGGAGGGAGTGCAGGAGGAGGAAGCGCAGAGGGAGTCTCAGCAGCCCTAGGTGACAGAATAAAAGGGGAGATGGAAGGGCAGGAAAGCAAATTTCCACAAGCAGAAAGAGAAGCTTTTTAGCATCATTGTTGTCTAACCAGAGAATAGGTTGCTTTTTGAGACAGTGAGCTTCCCAGCTCTGGAAGTACTCAAGCAGGGCTAGATACACACCTACCAAGGATGCTGTACAGACCCCTCACCCCCAATATTGGGTGGGATATGGACCACATTATGTCTCCTGTCTCTTCCAACTTCAGTCTTGAGATTTGTAAAGAATTGGATTCATTTCTTCTTTTTTTAAAATTGAACTTGGTTTTATTAACATCTTGTGGGTGTTTTTAAGTTCTGAGTATTCAACTTTGACTATGACGAAAATGTCTAATTTAAAGAGGTAACAAGGTATTTAACACATTGTGTAATATGAGCCAGATAAATTGCTTTCATAATGAGGGTTCCATCCAAATAAGGCAGAGGCCATGATCCCAGGTGGAAGGAATGGAAATGAATCTATTTCAAGGCCAATAGCTACAGCCCAAATTCACTCAACTCTACCAAACGTACCTGCACTGCCTCAGCAACTCATCTCTACAATTTGACAAGACAATCAAAAGTACATTTTGTACTTAATGTAATAAGAGGCTCAGATATAAATGCCTACTTTTATATATTTTTAACTTATGCAGATAGTTTGTTATTTAACAAATACGTTAAACTGACTTTGTTGCAAATGAGATATGAGGACGTGCATATGAAGAATAATTGGGCTGGGAGCAGTGGCTCACACCTGTAATCCCAGCACTTCGGGAGGCTGAGGCGGGTGGGTCATGAGGTCAGGAGTTCGAGACCAGCCTAGCCAAGGTGGTGAAACCCCATCTCTACAAAAAATACAAAAATTAGCCAGGCGTGGTGGCAGGTGCCTGTAATCCCATCTACATGGGAGGCTGAGGCAGGAGAATGGCTTGAGTCCGGGAGGCAGAGGTTGCAGTGACCTGAGATTGTGCCATTGCACTCCAGCCTGGGCAACACAGTTAGAGTTTTTTTAGACAGAGTCTTGCTGTCACCCAGGCTGGGGTGTAGTGGGGCAATCTTGGCTCACTGCAACCTCTGCTTCCTAGGTACAAGTGATTCTTCTGCCTCAGCCTCCCGAGTAGCTGAGATTACAGGCGTGCACCACCACATCTGGCAAATTTTTGTATTTTTAGCAGAGATGGGGTTTCACCATGTTGGCCAGGCTGGTCTCGAACTCCTGACCTCAGGTGATCCACCTGCCTCGGCCTCCCAAAGTGCAGGAATTACAGATGTGAGCCACAGCGCCCGGCGGAACTTGAATGCCATTTGGTTTCTCATAGCCTATTTTCCCTCCTTCTTAAAAAATGGGACAAATAATATTACCAAATGAATGTAAATAAAGGCATTTAGGAAATAATGTGGAAAAGTTTTAAAGTGTTATTTACTTTTTCTTTTCTTTTTTAATTTTAGATTCAGGGGGTACATGTGCAGGTTTGTTACATGGGTAAATTGCATGATGCTAAAATGTGGGCTTCTAATGATCCTATCTCCCAAATTGTAAACACAGGCCGGTCGTGGTGGCTCATGTCTATAATCCCAGCACTTTGGGAGGGCGAGGCAGCCAGATCACTTGAGCTCAGGAGTTCGAGGCCAGCCTGGCCAACGTGGCAAAACCTCGTCTCTACTAAAAATACAAAAAGTAGCCTAGTGTGGTGGCGCATACCCGTAGTCCTGGCTACTTGGGAGGCTAAGGCACGAGAATTGCTTGAGCTCAGGAGGCGGAGGTTGCAACGAACTGAGCTCTCACCATTGCACTCCAGCCTGGGAACAGAGGGAAACTACGTCTCAAAAATAAAATGAAAATAACAACAAATAGTGAACATAGTACCTGATAGGTAGTTTCTCAAACTTTCCCCCCTCCCTCCCTCCCCACTTTTGGAATCCCCCTTGTTAATTGTTCCCATCTTTGTATCTGTGTGTACCCAATGTTTAGCTCCCACTTCTAATTGAGAACCTGCAGTATTAGATTTTCTGTTTCTGAGTTAATTTGCACTGGCTAATGGCCTCCAGCTGCATCCATGTTTCTGCAAAGATGTGATTTCATTCTTTTTTTGTGGCAGCATAGTATTCCAGGGTGTATATATACCATATTTCCTTTATTCAGTCCACCATTGATGGGCAACTGGGTTGATACTATGTCTGTCCTATTGTGAATAGTGCTGCAATAAACACACGAGTGTTTATTGGTAAAGCGATTTATTTTCCTTTGGTTGTATACCCAGTAATTGGATTGGTGGGTCCAATGGTAATTCTATTCTTAGTTCTTTAAGAAATCTCCAAACTGCTTTCCACAGGGACTGAATTAATTTGCATTCTCACCAATAGTGTATAAGCATATAATAGCAGTGCAAGAAAATAAGAATTGGGTTCATTTCTTATCCTACTTTCTGGGATACTTCATCAACGCCTCTCATAAAACTTAGAAAACCGACCTTACAATAGAGGCAAGTCAACCAAGATGAAAGCTGGTTCTTTGTATATGTTAATAATTTTGATAGACCCCATCACGTCTGATCAAGAAAAAAAAAAGAGAAATAAAACACATTAAAATTCCTTTCTCCTCAAGAAGCACCCAGCAAATATAGTAGGTGTGCATCCAGTGATCATAGAATAAAAGTGTTGTTATCCTGTTAAGTCTTCATCCCCAAACCTCTAAAGGCTGCATTCTTTTGGAGGTTTCTAGCCTTATACCTCATCGTCCTATAATCTTTTTAAATAATACAAGTAGGTAAAGTAGTCAAGGCACTCACTGGTTTGAAAACCTGTGAAAGAAAAAAAAAGCTTTATAAATGGAGTTGACAGCCTCTTCCGTATAATTGGGACTTCTGAACCAAGTGAAGTTTTGAAGATTTTTGAAGACTGGGAATAATTCTGTAGCTTCATAGTTGTACTTTATTTTTACTCTTCCATTCACCCAAGCTCCTTCTTTCTAGCAAATCCCGTTTGTTGGCGGATAAAAATACATCTGCAGAGTCTCCCGGAAGCTGCCCCATCAGCCTCGTAGACAAGAAGCCTTGTTTTCCTGCACCGCCACAGAAATGTCTTCCTCCTCCTCCTTCTCCGGCTCACTGGGATCAAAGTCTTTTTCGTTCTTAGCTGGTTTTCCTTAGAGAAAAGCTGGAGTTCAGGGTTCAGTTCAGAGAGGGTGATTCCTTGAGGGCAGACCTAGAGGCGCCGCGCACGGGTCCCGCCTGCAGCCCCGGCAGAGCTGCGCCCCGGTTGCCTGCGCCGCGCGAGTCCGCCAATAGCGCCGAGAAATCCGTTACCAGGCGGCTGTGTCCCCAAGGGCCATTCAGGGCGGAAGGGAGCAGGGAAAACCGCTGTGTTGATTCCCGGGCGCTGTAGGCTGCGAGCGCAGAGGGTCAGGTTACAGGCAGGTGAGGCTGGCTGTTGGGTGAGCCGTGGGCTCCAGGGCATCCCTGGTCAGACGCGCCCCCGCAGCACTCGGCAGCTGGCACACGTCTGACGACCTCCTGGAGGAGGGCGACCGCAGCGATACAGGAGGCTGTGCCCGTTGTCCTGGGTGCACCCGAACAAGGCCTTGGGAAGGGCAGCGCGCCCCCCAACGTGAGCACAACTGCTTTAGAAACTTGGCATATTTTACCAACTCCCCCTCCTTCTCTCCCTCTCTCCTCCAGGCATAAAGGTTGATAGGAACAAACAGATATAATAATAAATGCAAAGCTTTCCTACCTCCCCGGTAGGGGCGGCGAGAAGATGTAGCCAATGTTCACTATACTGGCTTCCTGGAAAGGTATTTCCCAGTCTCAGAATTTGGGGATCGGGTGGTTAGGGGAGGCAATGGTGGGAGTGGACGAAGATTGGGGGCTTGTTTTGAGGCTGCATTTGCTTAATATGCTCCTGGCTTTTGTTTCTATTGTGTGTTTACTTGGGGTGAGGGGGCCTCGGGGTGCAACATCTTGTGGGGAGAAGCTGCTTTGGCGGGGCAAGCCCTGTTTTTCTTAAATTGTATGATACTAGTCAGAAAGATAACGTGTTCTAAAGATGCCGAATTTTTAAATTTATTTTTACTGCTTTTGCGGGGGGAGTTGTAGTTGATGGATAGCTTAAGCTCCTAAGCCCCCACCCCCCATTATTAACAATCAGAATCCTTGGAAGTCTCCCGCCGCCTCGCCCTTCTGACCGCCCAGATTTCATCAAGCCCCGGGAAGGCTCCACACGGTCCAGAGGAACTGAGCCATTTTCTGGCTCGTCGAAGACAAATCCACCGGGCGGGGGAGGGGGGCAACTCGTGGGAGGCCCCAACTCACCGGAAGGGTGCCCTGGGAGGCGAACCTGGGGTTTACTTCGAAGAGCTCGCCTCGAGGTGCAGGTGATGGGAGAATGGGGCGGGGGTTGATTAAAAAATGTTCTTCCTTTCTTAAAAAGAGGAGGGGGAAGAGCAGACTTTAAATTCTTTTGCAAACATTCATGCCTAAGGAAGGGCTGGAACAGGCAGCCCCGGCCGCCGGAACCGGTCGGACAGGTAGCGAGCTTGTTGACACCGTTATGTTGCAGGGCGCATGCTCACTCCCAAGTTTCCTGGTGCCTTTTCTATTCCACCTTATGAAACTTTTTCCCCGGCGTGGTCTCACTCGCGATTTAAGGCATAGGTGTCGCCCAGCCAGGAGGCTGGGAGTCGCCAGGCGTGCGGGGGAGAGGCCTGGGCCGCGCCGCGGCGGGGGGTGGAGGAAGAGGGCAGGCGAGGCGGGAAGGTGGGCTCTGGCCGCCGGGAGCCGGGGACGGAGCCGCCGCCGTCGCCCCTAGCGGGGAGCAGCCGGGAGGAGGGGGCCGCGGTCGGGAGAGGGGACCCCACCATGCCCAAAGTCTTCCTGGTGAAGAGGAGGAGCCTGGGGGTCTCGGTCCGCAGCTGGGATGAACTCCCGGATGAGAAAAGGGCAGACACCTACATCCCAGGTGAGCGCGCGCGGGGGCCGGGCCTGGGCGCTGGGCTCCCGGGGTGGGGGAAGGGGTGGCGGGTCTTCTCCGCTCATCGGCAGGGGCGGGCTCCCCACCTCATCCCCTTTTCCAGGGGGCACGCGGGGGTCTTCTAGGCGAGGGAGGGTGGGCAATGAGGGACTGGGATGCCCGGGACTCTGGGCGCCCCCTTCCCCCTAGTGGGAGCCTCTAATTGCCCGGCGGCAGGACCGTTGGCTGCAGCGCGGGCCGAGGTGGCCCAGGAAAGGGATTGAAAGCCAGCAGGGGCTACCCCCAATCTCACGTCCTCATGGGGGTGCACAAAGGCCCGCCAACCCTTCTGGGGCTAGCTGGGGAGAGGTCAGACCCGCCTCCCCCGCCCAGAGAGGAAACTTGGCGCGCAGGGTCCTCCGCGGCGCGTGGCCACCGGGTTCCTCGTGGGCGCCAGGGCTGGGACCGGGAAGAGGCCCCCAGCACTCCAAGCTAGCCGTAGGGGTCGATCCGGGGCTTACTCGCCCACCCCCGCGACGTTGCCCACTTGGCGAGGTG